CCCCCGGAGGCCGAGGGGGGAGGGTCCCCCGGGGGGGCAGGTCTCAGCGAGGACCCTCCCGCACAGCTCCTCAGCCAGGAGCCCAACCCGGGTGTGCGCTACGAGTACCACCTGGCCCTGGGCAGCCCCCTGCCCGGCTTCCGCTGGGGCCACGGCTCGTGGAGTGACTGCAGCGCCGAGTGCGGTGGAGGTGGGCCATTTGCATTTGGTGGGGGTCACGGGGTGGGAGGGAACCGCAGGGCTCGGGGACTCCATGAAGGGTCCTCCTTACCCAACCCCGAAGCTAAGAGAACCAGAGGCTTCCCCGAGGTGGCGGAATCCCGGAGGAGACGGCCCTCCGTGGGCAGCAGGGGCCCAGCCCAGCGGGTGACCAGGTGTCGGAGCAGGGCTCCAGCACCTCAGATAACACCCCTCAAGCCTCAGTTTCCTCCTCTGTGAATTGGGGGTGATGATGGCACTTATCCCAGGGGGTCATTTGAGGCTTAATCAAGACGACACTTGGGATGCGTGCAGAATGGTGCCCAGCCCAGACAATGCATTTGGTGACTGCTGACTGACCACCCGCCCTCGATGGCCGGGCCTCTGCAGGTCACCAGTCCCGCCCGGTGTTCTGCACCACTGACGACGAGGTATACCCCGACCACATGTGCCAGCATCAGTTGCGGCCGGCTGACCGCCGCTCCTGCAGCACTCACCCCTGCCCGCAGACCAAGCGGTAAGGCCCTTGCCAGCCCCTCCCCCCATGGTGGGGCCCAAGCCCTTGGGTGGGAAGGCCGTGGGGTCTCTGGGCTACTCTAGGTGTTGCGCAAACAGGTAGGTGTCCCCGGCTCCCTACACCTGTGGTGGAGTGGGGAGGAGGCAGCTGTAACGGGGGGAAGCAGCGGGGCGGGGGGCATGAGCGGGAGATCCAGGGCTATTCTGTCCACCCGTGTGTGCCCACTCAGTGTCCAGAGTGTCCAGGCTGGTAGTGGGAGCGAGGGGGAGGTACTGGAGGCCCTGTCCGAGCCGGCAGGGGACTTGGCTCGACAGATGCCAGGAAGTGGGCCAGGGACTGGGCCAGGGGGCCTGTGGGCATCAGTAATGCCTTTGTTCCCGCACAAAGGACCTCTTACCTGCACCGGCCCAGAGCGTGGCACCTTGCTGGGGCCCAGCGTGCGTGCAGGAACAGGTAATCTGCAGGCTGCAGGCTCCCTGCCCGGCTGGTGCCATCCTTCCGCCCTCATGGCCTTGGTGGCATCTGGCCTTGCAGGATGGTGGTGGGCTTGGCTTTGCATGGTGCAGCTGGGGCTGCCCTTTCCTCCGGTGCCTCAGGGCCGCTCCACACGTGGGTGAGCATGGCCCCTCTGGGAGATGCCCCCAACAGAGGCAATGGAGTCTGGCTGGGGCTGACAGGGGACCTGGTGAGGAGAACAGGGGATACAGGTGAGGACAGGAAAGCTGGGGTGGGGGGCAGCCGGGCTCTGTGTTGTAGGGACCAGTGCTCGGTGGTGAGAGATGGCAAGCGGGGCGGCGGGGGGGGGGGGGGCTTGGCCTTTTATGCAGAGCGTTCTGCCCCCCACCCGTACAGGCCCAGATGTTAGGACGGGCCAGGTTGGGGGGTCCCCAGTCCGCTCCTGTGTGTGACAGTTGGTGCTCCCTGAACTCCGGCCCTGCTGCTGGGCCAGCCTCACCGGATCCCTGCTCCCTGCCAGCTGGAAGACGGGGCCCTGGTCGCCCTGCTCGGCCTCCTGTGGTGGTGGCTCCCAGTCCCGCTCTGTCTACTGCATCTCGTCTGATGGGGCTGGCGTCCAGGAGGCCGCCGAGGAGGCGGAGTGTGCAGGCCTGCCTGGGAAGCCCCCCACCACGCAGGCTTGCCACCTGCAGCGCTGTGCAGCCTGGAGGGCAGAGCCCTGGGGAGAGGTGAGGCCTCTGCCCCATGGGGCTGGGGCAGGGTGGGGACGAAATCAGGCGCTGGGACTAGCGGCGGGGGCCGCAGCAGAGCTGGGCTGGGAAGCTTGGCCTCCACCGGGGAAACAGATCCTGGGAGGTAAAGGGACCTGCTAGGTCGTCTTGGAAGCCTCTGTGGAGGCTGGGACTAGGAGCAGGTGTTTGGACTCCTCCTCCTTCTCCAGGATCCCAGGCAGGGCGGGAAAGGCTTTGTCTTGGCACAAAGGAGCAGCCGGGCGCCTTGCTTTGGGGGTGAGGGAGGAGCCGGCCCTGACTGGGGCTGCTGGTCACCGCATCCAGCACCTACATATGTTCAAGTCTCGAACAAGGGAACGTGCAAAGTGTCCCTAAGCTTGGCGTCAGCAGGCGTGGTGTAGGCTACGTGACCTCAGAGGAGTGGCTCAGCCTCTCTCAGCCTGGGAGCTGGGCATGGGCCATAGGGTGCCGTCCACCCTCCCTGTCAGGCGGGGGGGGGCCTCCAGCTGTCTGACCCGGCATGGCTCCTCCGGGCGAGGACAAGCTCCCGCCGACAGCCCGCTCCTTACAGTGCTCTGTCAGCTGCGGCGCTGGCGTCCGGAGGCGGAGCGTCACTTGCCGGAGTGAGGAGGGGTCTCTGCTCCATGCTACAGCGTGCTCCTCGGAGGACCGCCCCCCCGTCACTGAGCCCTGTGTGCGTGAAGACTGTCCCCCCATCCATGACCAGGCCTGGCATGTGGGCGCCTGGGGCCTAGTGAGTGCTTGCCCGCTTCCCCCTCATCCCTGCTGCCCAGTCCTGGTCCCTTGGGTCTCTGGCAGGTGGCTGGACACGTGCCCCATCCCTGGGTCTGACCTGCCTCACCAGGCACCTTCCCCCTACCTCTCTTCCTTGTGGGGACCCCCAGCCTCGGGGTCTCTCTCCTTTTGTGAGCCTGTTCTCTCTTCCCACGCCCACCCTGTGGGCCCCAGTGTTCCAAGAGCTGCAGCGAGGGGACTCGGAGGCGCCAGGTCCTCTGTGCCCTCAGGCCGGCCAGCCGCTGCGGGAGCCTGCAGCTGTCCAAGCCCGAGGAGGTGGAGCCCTGTAACTCACAGCCCTGCCATCTATCTCCAGGTAAGGGCGGGGTGTGGGTGCAAGGGGGAGAGGCCGTGCGGGCCCCACCTGTCTCCCCTGCGCCAGGGTCCCCCCCCCGCAATGCTCCCTCGGCAGAATGCCCGTCTGTGCCGCCTCACGGGCCGGCCCGTTTGCCCAGCAGAGGCAGCATCCTTCACCCCCAGAGCCCACGTACCGGCCAACCATCTCGGGTTGGTTTCCTCGGGCCGCAGCGATCGTGTGCGGCTTGTCAGGCCTACTAGCTCGGAGCTCCTTGAGGGCCAGGTCCCTGACTTCCTCCTTGCTATTTATACCTCCCCCCCCACCCCTGCCGCCCCAAGAACTTAGCACGAGCTGGGTATTTAGTAAATGTTTATTGAGTGACTGAGTACGCACTGCTCCTGCCTTTGTCTTCCCCTTCTCCTCACCCCCAACCCCACTGGCAAAGAAGACGTCCCAGGCCTGAAGAGCTGCAGCACGAAGGGCCCGGGGCCAGGACTTGCTTGGTGTGAGGATGTGATATTGAGGAAGAACGTGGGTTGGGGCTCAGCTGAGGGGGTTGGATGGTGGCCTTCTGCTACCGCAGGGAGGTGTGTCTGGCCCGGATGTGCTAGTGCTGGGGGCCCCGTGAGCCAGGATGGTAGAGTTCCAAGGGAGGCATGGGGCACGGTGGCTGAGAACCAGTGGCCTGAACTTGACAGTTCAGTCTACTCCATTGCTGACCAGCGGTGTGGCCCTGGGCAAGCACCTCTCCTCCCTGATTCTCGATTTGCCCATCTGTACAATGGGATTAATAAGAGTGCTTTTCTTACAGTGAGTCAGTTGGCACTGTGTCTGAACACACAGAGCTTGGTAAGCAAAGGGTCGGTAGTCGGTGGTGGTGGTGAGGCCATGTGGGGGCCCCGGGGTCAGGCTCCTGCGGTGCCTCAGCCTGGCCTGGCCCTTGTGGGGCACGAGCAGGAGGCTCCTCCTGGAGCCATGGATGCCTTCCTGGAAGAGGTGGCCCTGAGCCTGCCCCCAGAGAGGCATTCACATAGGTAGCAAGGAGAGAAACAAAGCATTTCAGGCCAGGCTGAATTGTAAAAGAAATAAGCTTAATGGCTATTTTTATAAAATAATCTATGTTCATTGTGGAAAATTTGGAGAAATTAGGAAAGCAGCATAGAAATGGAAATTGCCCTGATCCCATGCTTTAGTGGGATCTAGTCATTAGCATGCTTTGTTACGTATGCCGAATGCTCTGGGCGCTTTTCCCTGTTAGAGCCACTTGGTGGGTGAACATTTTTCAGCTTCATGATTTCTCTACAGAAGTCCACGATGGGCAGGAAGTTAGAATTTAGGTGGTTTCTAGGGCGTTTGGGTGGCTCAGACGGTTAAGCATCTGACTCTTGATCTCAGCTCAGGTCTTGATTTCAGGGTCCTGAGTTCAGGCCTGGCATTGGGCTCCACGCTGGGTGTGCAGCCGACGTAAAAAGAAAAAAAAAATTACATTTAAGGAGTCCTGGCTGGTTCAGTCAGAAGAGTGTGCGGACTCTTGATCTTGGGGTTGTGAATTTGAGCCCCATGTTGGGTGTAGAGATTGTTTAAAAAAATTTTTTTAAAGATTTATTTATTTGAGAGAGAGTGAGAGAGAAAGAACGCCAGTGGGGGAGGGGCGGAGGGAGAGGGAGACAAACAGACTCCCTGCTGAGCAGAGAGCCCTACGCAGGGCTTGCCCCCAGGACCCTGGGATCATGACCTAAGCCGAAATCAAGAGTTTGTCGCTTAACTGACTGAGCCACCCAGGTACCCCTAAAATTTTTTTATTTAAATAATGTTTTATATTAACCCAATTAAATATTTTTAATATGTAATCAGTATAAGAATTATGAATAGGATATTTTACATTCTTTTTTCACAAGATTAAAAAAATAAATCTTCCAAAACCAATGTATTTATTGTTCACATAGCATATCTTAATTCAGATGCAAAATTTCACTGGCATACTTGATCTATATTTAGATTTTATAGAATGTGCAGTTGGAAAAGTAGATTCACACACCCAAGTTGTTCCAAACGTACTGAAGCATTTTCTAATAAATGAATCAAGCGTCACTTTAAAATTAATTCTGATTAGAATAAATGTAAAATGTAGTTTCTCAGTCACTCTGGTCACATTTCAAGTACTCAGTAGCTCTGAGTGAGGCCAGCAGGGGCCCCAGAACCCGTCCTCAGCCAAGGACGTGGGGGTGGTGGCAGGAGGTCTGTCCTGGGGACCTCAGGCTGGGCTGCAGATTAAATTTGTCTAATAGGCCCAGGGGAGCCACTGAAGCTTTGGAGCTCAACAGTGATACCATGAAAGGTCTTGAGGAGGACAGGTGTGGCGCCTGCCCGAGGGCCAGACTGAAGTGGAGCCGGTTGGAGTGGGAGCCTGGTGGGGAGCAGGCTGCAGAAATCCAAGGGCCAGCAAGAGTTGTGAAAACGAAGGGCCAGGCACTTGCCCAGCAGAGCCTGGTGCCCAGAGGGCGCGCGGGAAGTGGTGCTGCACTCGAAGCCTGGGAAGGTGGAAGAGAAGAAGCTAGGGGCCTATTCCCAGGCTGGCTGGGGCCTAGGACTGCAGCACTGGAGGTGGGAGGTGCTGGCAGGCGATGGTGGAACTGGGGAGAGAATGTGCATCTGCCTCGTCCCAGGGCTTGGCCTGGGCAGGATAGGCAGTGAAATGAAAGCAAAGATTTTACTGCATATCTACTAGATTTTTCCAACCCTAAATTATTTTCTAAATATTTTCTAGGGACTGGCAAGATGTAGTCCAGAGGGGGATGGAATTTTCACTTTTTTTTTTTCTTTAAGACTTTATTTATTTGAGAGAGCATGTGAGAGCAGGGTGGAGGGGAGCAGAGGGAGAGGGAGAAGCAGGGAGCCCAATCCCAGATCCCAGGATCCTGGGATCGTGACCTGAGCTGACGGCAGACGCTTAGCCAACTGAGCCACCCAGGTGCCCCTTCACTTCTTTTATATAACTACTCCATTATGTAGTAGTATGCTTACTGTGGAAAATTTGAAATGCACCAACAAATAGAAGGAGGGGACCCCCACCACCTGCTGCCCTCCCCCCCCACTCCGGGTGCTTGGAACCATGCGCATTCTGGGGCATGTCCTGTTATGCATCATTACAAAAATTCCTGTCATCCATATTTACTCAGTCTTTTGCATTTTTTTCTCCATTTTATGATGAAAAATCTTTTTAGTAACTTGGAAGTGGTTAAATATCATATACCATAAAATTCACCCACTCTAACGGTAATTCATGATTTTTAGTAAGTTTACCAAGTTGGACAATAAAATGGTAAAATTTTTTTTTTTCCTGTTTCTGAGCAGCCCCTAATCTGATTCCCCATGCTGGGAAGACAGGCCTGCTTATTTGTTTATTTGTTTGTTTAATTCCAGTACAGTTAATACACAGTGTTGTGTTAGTTTCAGGTATACAGCACAGTGATTCAGCAATTCTGTACTCAGTTCTCATCATGATAAGTTCCCTCTTAATCCCCTTTACCCACACCCCCCTCCACCTCCCCTCCGGTAACCATCGGTGTGTTCTCTATAGCTAAGAGCCTGGTTTTTTGTTTGTCTCTTTTTTCTCTGTTGGTTTTGTTTCTTGAATTCCACATACGATTGAAATCATTCAGTGTTTATCTTTCTCTGACTTATTTTGCTTAGCGTGATACCCTCTAGATCCATCCATGTTGTTGCAAGTGATGAGATTTCATTCTTTTTTATGGCTGAGTACTATTCCATTGTGTGTGTGTGTGTGTGTGTGTGTATCACTTTGTCTTTATCCATTCATCTGTGGATAGACACTTAGGCTGCTTCTATATTTTGACTATTATAAATGCTATAGACAGAGGTGCATATATTTTTTGAATTAGTGTTTTTGTATTTGGGTAAATAGTAGTGGAATTACATGGTAATGCCACTTTTAATTTTTTGAGGAAGGATGGTGAAAAATTTTAAACATACAGAGTTGTTTGAAGTAGTTGAACTGCATAGGAAGCAGCCATGTATCCACACCTAAATTCTATAATGGCTGTTTAGTTATATGTGCTTTTTCATGATCCACTCCTTTTGTTCCTTCATCTATCATTCAAATTGTGTGTGTGTGTATGTGTGTTTAAAATGATCCAGTTGTTTTTAATATGGAATTTTTTTCTTGAGGTGCAGTTCACAAAACATACATTTAACCATGGTAAAGCTAATGCTTTGGTGTTATTTTGTATACTCACGATGTTGTACAAACACCATATTTTATCACCCATAAAAGCTCCCTGTACGCATTAACTGATCACTCCCCACTATCCCTAACCTCCTTCCTTGGTAACCGGATCTGCCCTCTGTCTTGTTGGATTTGCCTATCCTGGAAATACCGTGTAAAAGGGGTAGCACAGCTCTCATGCCTGCCTCTTTCCCCCGGCGGAGTGCTGTTGAGGTTCATCTGGGCTGGAGCCTGGATACATCGGCATTTCGTCCTTTTTATGGCTGATAGCAATTCTATGGGTATACCACGATCTGCTTATTCTTTCATCAGCTCATATATATTTGGGTTGTTTCCAGCTTTTGGCTCTAATGAATACAACTGCTATAAACGCTCATGTACGAGTTTCTGGGTCAACCTATGTTTTCATTTCTCTTGGGTACATACCCAGGAGTGGAATTGCTGGGCTCTCTGAGGACTCTGTGTTTAACTTTTGGAGGAATTGCCAAACTGTTTCCACGGTGGCCGTACCAATTTACATTTCCATCTGCAACGCATGAGGCTTCCAGTTTGTCCACATCCTCACCAGCACTTACTATTTCAGCCTTTTTGATTAGAGCCCTCCTAGTGGGTGTGAAGGAGTAGCTCCTTGTGGCTTTGATTTGCATTTCCCTAATGAGTGATGATAGTGAGCATCTTTTCATGTGCTTGTTGGTCCTTTGTATATTTTCTTTGGAGAAATGTCTGTTCAAGTTCTTTGCCCATTTTTTAAAAAGATTTTATTTATTTGACAGACAGAGACACAGCGAGAGAGGGAACACAAGCAGGGAGAGTGGCAGAGGGAGAAGCAGGCTTCCCGCGGCGCAGGGAGCCCGATGCGGGGCTCGATCCCAGGACCCTGGGACCATGACCTGAGCCAAAGGCAGACGCTTAATGACTGAGCCACCCAGGCGCCCCTCTTTTTTAAGATTTTAAAATAATCTCTGCACCCACCATGGGGCTCGAACTCATGACCCCAAGATCAAGTCACGTGCTCTACCGACTGAGCCAACCAGGCGCCCCACTTTGCCCATTTTTTAATTGGATTGTTTGTTTTCATCAATTCAGTCTAGTTGGGATCAAACATAGATACTAATTTTATATCTGGCTTTTCTTTTTGCTGAACATGTAACATTAGCTTTTTCTAAGTGACTAAAGACTCTTGAAACATGGGAAGGGTGTTTTATGAAATCACAGGTCTGCTCATTTTCACTTCCGCTGTCCTGGGTGCCCCAGGCCTTGCCTGAGCAGTGGGGTGGGAGCACATGGTGGTTAGGGTGGCCACTGCTCAGGCCTGACTCTCTGCTCCCTGCAGAAGTCCCCAGCATGCAGGACGTGCACGTCAGCTCCAGGGATCCCCGGATGTCTTTGGGCCCTCAGGTGGCCCCCACCTCAGGTGAGAAGCTCAGTGGAAGCCCCCAACCCAGAGCCCAGGAGATGGAGGTTGAAGGTGGGGCAGGTGGTTTAGGGGGGATGGAAAAGGTAGGTCTGGTGTGGACAGATGGAGGTGAGCAGCCAGGTGGAGACCGCAGGTATCTTTTCCTCCTCCTTCTTAGATTCCAGAGACCAGTGGTGGCTCCCCCAGGAGCAACCCTCAGTCCAGGGTAACCCCAGAAGAGCCCAGGGCCTTCACCTGCCAGGCCTAGCCCCCTCTCTGCCACAGTCCCCACACCGGCAGCCCCTGCGGTCTGGCTTGGCACCCCAAGACTGCAGACAGAGCCCCTATGGGTGCTGCCCTGATGGCCACACCACGTCTCTGGGGCCGCAGCGGCAGGGCTGCCCTGGGACCTCATGTCAGCAGAGCAGGTAGGAGCCTCTTCCTCTTTACCAGGTCAGAGAGGAAAAAGTGTGTGTGTTGGTGGGGGTGGTATCTGATGGGCAGGGCCACGACTCTGCGCAGGGAGGTTGGAGGGGGTTTTGCAGAGCTCAGGACTGGGACTCTGGAGGTGTCTTCTGGCTTCCCTGCTTGTGCCGTCTTGCGGACTCTGCTTCCTGTCGCTGATCTCCCTAATGTGCAGAGTGGGGGTAAAAATCTCCGCTCTTGCTACAGAAGTCGGCCTGTGGAGGTGTAGCCTGAGGCTCTGGGAAGGCACATGGGATATCATTCTAGCGTTCAGATCCAAAGCAGTCTGCCAGTCTCTCTGGGGCTGGGATGCTCAGAGCACAGACTTTGGGGCCAGCAGCCTGGGAGCCGGGCAGGATTCCCAGCTCAGTCACTTACCAGCCGCGTGCTGGGTGATGGGGGCAAGTTCCTTAACTTCTCTGATCTTGGCTTCCTCTGCCGAGATGTGGGAACCGTGACAGCCCCCGGCTGGGGTTGCTGTGAGATCGGAACAGTCCCATGGTGCCTGGGGCGTGGAAGGTGCTCTGATGCGTTCCTCCTTCACCTTCCTTCCCCACTCCTGGCTGATGGAGCTGTGATTTTGTAAAGCCTCCCTGGGGACCCGCTATGTGGGCAGGCTCAGTGAGTCTCCACCTTGGTTTCGGGGTGGGGGAGGGGAGTTGAGGATCCGTCAGGTATCAGGGCAGCGGCTCTGCCTGCTGGGTTTCTGCTGCCTCCGTGGCAGCCGCTGGGCGGTTGGGGGACGCGGCAGAGCCTCGGCACGTGGAATGGTCGGGCCCGGGTGCGGGGCCACGCTGTCTCCCGCTCGAGTCCCCAGCTGCTCGGCCCCCAGCGCGGGCAGCCTCAGAGCCTGGGTCCCAGGATGCTGGGAGGGTCGGCCATCAGGGCTGGTTGGTGAGCAGACAGCCGTGTGGTGCTTGTCTAGGTACGGGTGCTGCCCCGACGGGGTGTCTGTGGCTGAGGGGCCCTGGCACGCTGGCTGCGCAGGGTCTTACAGCAGTGACAACGTGGGGCGAAGGCCGGGGTCAAGAGCAGTGGTTTTCTCAGTAAGTGTGGGTCACACAGGGGGGCGGTGTGGGGGGGCGGGAATCCAGCCCCCAAGCCTGCTCAGCGCCACTGTGACCCGGGCTGTCTGTAACTTGGGCTTGGGAGAAAGGAGGTTCCTGCTGGCTGCTGGCCCACAGGGCTTCTGAGACGGGCCTGGGCTGGAGATGGGGGTGGCGTGTGCAGGGGGCTTCGTCTGACCTTCCCCGGGCCTCTGAGCTCCCCTGGGGCTGGGGTTCTGCATCATGGGCTCCTGCCCCTACCCCTCCCTCTTCCTGTCCTCCCTCCCCAGGCCCCCACGGCCCACCGGCCCCAGGCTCAGCAGAACGAGCCCCCTGAGTGCCGGGGCTCCCAGTTCGGCTGCTGCTATGACGGGGTGGCCACTGCGGCCGGCCCTCTGGGGGAAGGCTGCGGGGGCCAGCCCAGCTACGGTGAGTGGGTGTCCCGGCAACGCTTCCTGGTGAGTGGGCTCCGGCCCCCCTTTGCCCCCCACACCTCCACTGGGCCCCCACCTGGAGCTTCCTACTAGCTCAGTGATTCATTCATTTCTTCAGATGTTTACTGCTCACTTACTAGGCGCCAGGTCCGAGGACGGGGCCATTGTTCTCGTTCCCAGCAGTTTGCCCTTGAGACCACCTGCCTGCTTGTGGGAGGCGAGGAGAGCCGGGGCAGGGCCCCCACAGAGAAGGAGGGCTTGTCCTGGCCCCCACCCCCTTGGGGCTCAGCGCCCTCTAGAGGCAGAGATGGAATGGTGGTCAGTGCCGGGATGGACAGGGGTGTGCCCACCGTGCCTGGGATGAGTCCTGGAGGGAGGTCGCCGAGGCAGGAGCATGTGTGGGTGGCACTGCCAGGGACTGTCAGGGGGACCTCAAAAGCCAGATGGGCTGATGGTCAGGGTCTGCAGGAGGCTGGGTCCCTGGGGGGCTTTAAGCAGGGGCCAGCCACATTCACGCAGAGAGGTAGAGCGGGCTGTGCTGGGGAGGTGGGCGGTTGGAACAGGCAGGCTGGGGGCAGCTGCAGGTGGGCTCGAGGCTGGTGAGGGGTCCTGGGAACAAAGGCGGGCCCCTCACTGGGCACCTTCACAGATGTCCCTGGGAGTGGAGGGCTGGGTTCTTAGGAGCCAGGCCCTTGGGCTGCTCTGTGCATGCACTCTCGGGACCTGAGTCAGGCATGGGGAGGGGGGGGCATGAGGGGGCCAGTCCCGGTTGCTCATGGCCCTGACCTTCTGGAGGGCTCTAGTTCTGTGGGTGGAGCCCAGGTAGGTCTGGGCAGTGAGCAGACTCTGCCCCCAGGGCCAGGTCAGGGGTCTGGGCAGGGGTGTAGACGTGCTCTGTGAGCTGGGAAGGGCCTGGCTCCTAAGTCCGAGGCGGAGGGGATGGTGGGCCCTTGCTGGCAGGGCTCTGCTGGGCAGCATCCTCGGCTTGATGACACGCACCCTCCCTGTCCCCTCAGCCTACCCTGTGCGGTGCCTGCTGCCCAGCGCCCACGGCTCCTGCGCGGACTGGGCCGCCCGCTGGTACTTCGTCCCCTCTGTGGGCCAGTGTAACCGCTTCTGGTACGGCGGGTGCCACGGCAACGGCAATAACTTTGCCTCTGAGGAGGAGTGCATGAGCAGCTGCCGGGGGCCGCACGCTGGGCCCCGCTGGCCGGAGCCGGGGGCCTCTGGCCCGAGCACCCGCGCAGACGGTGGCGGCAGCCATCCTGGAGGCCAGCTGGAGGCCAGCTGGCCCAGGACGGGGGCCATAGTCCCGACGAAGCTCTTGCCTTCCGGTGGCCTCGGGTGGCGAGACCAAGAACCTGGGGCGTTTGGAGAACGGCCCTGGGGCGGGGAGCTCGGGCCCCCAACCCCTGGCCTGGGCGGAGATGCGGGGCGACCAGTGCCGCCCTCCCACAGCTCCCCCTACAGGTGAGGCCTACCTTCCCCGGGTCAGGGGCTGCACCTGTCGGAGCTAAAACCCTGAGGTCCGCAGGCCCTCCCTCCCCATCCCTAACCTCAAGTCCTCCAAACAGCCCTGCCTGGAGGGCGCCGGTCCTGTCGTTGTACACATGGGGAAGCTGGCGTTGGAGACAGGAGACTTGCCAGTAGATGGTGCTGCCATCTTGGTCAGACCTTGCCCGTACACCCCGGGCCTGTCTAGTCAGGAAAGCTTGCAGGCTTCGTGACCTTCGGCAAGTCCTCCAGCTTCTCCAAGCCTCAGTTTCTTGACCTATAAAATGGTGATATTCTTAGATTTAGTGTGGGTTCCACGGTCTTGGGACTGAGTCATGAGAGCTTTGGGGAGAGTAAAAACAAAACTTTAAATTCCGAAGAGGTCGAGCATGTGGTTTAGTTCCCCACATGGACCTGGCATGAGCAATCTGTCCCGGCCCCTCCATGCCCTGGGCTTTGCGCCTACTCTGCCGCTGTCACAGGACCAGGCTGAGGTAGCAACGTCCAAGGGCGTGTGGGGAGGATGGAGAGGGGGGATTCCCGAGGCCATGGGCTTCTGGAGCTGACCCCGAAAGTGCTGGAGACAGGATGGGTGCCCAGCTCTCTGTGGTGGGACATTGATAAAGGGGAGTCTCCAGTCCTGGCACTCAAGCCAGCAGTGCGGGTCCTCACGGCCGCCCCCCTCCCCCCAGGGTCAGCTTGGCAGGCCCAGAGCCGTCCCTGGTGCACGCCCCCCAGGGGCAGTTGGTGCAGCTCCTCTGCCAAGATGACATGCCCCTGGAGCCCCACGCCAGGTGGCAGAAAGACGGGCAGCCCATCTCCTCCGACAGGTATGTGTGTGGCAGCCCCCTGATGTCCCCGGGATGGGAGCGTGCACGCAGGGCTACTGTCCCCTCTGGTAGGAGCGCTGGGGCCGGAGGCGGGCTAGGCTTATTGTCCTCAGGAGCCCAGAGCTCAGGCCCCCACCTCTTCACTCAGGCACAAGCCGCAGCCTGATGGCTCCCTGGTCATCAGTCCCCTGCAGGCAGAGGATGCTGGCATCTACAGCTGTGGCAGCGGCCGGCCAGGCCGTGACTCTCAGAAGATCCAGCTTCGTGTCACAGGTCTCTGCCCTGGGGATTCCCATGGGCCCCACGCAGGACCACACTGGAGGGGCCCTTCCTGCTGGCAGGGACCGCGCTCCGCAAGGGCCGAGGTGGAGGTCCTGCCCCTTGTGGCGCTCATTTTTCCACATGTCCCTGGCCAGCTTCATGGCCCCCCCTCCTTCCACCACATGCTCACCCCTTCTCCTGGCCTCATGACAGGGGCTGATGTGGCCGTGCTACCTGAGGCTGAGCCAAGGCACTTCCCTCAGACCAGGGACCCAGCCCAGGGCCACAGCCCTCGGGACTCCAGCCTAGTGGGGGACAGAGGAGGCCTAGGGGCCGTCTCCTCCTTGCAACCTCGGCCCACGACCAGGTAACAGCGCAGCAGTGCCGTCCTGCTCTCAGCCTACCCCACTGGAGGGCCGGGGGTGATGGGGGTCTCAGTGGTGAAAGGAGGGGAGCGCTCTGCCTGGTGAGGACAAGAGAAACGTGGCTCCCTGAGCACAGCCTCTTAGGAGGAAGGGGAGCCCTCCACCCCTCCCCAAACAGTTGAGGATGGTCCAAGGCCCAGGACACAGGGGCTGAGGGAAGGGAAACACACCGGGAGCTAGAGGGCCTGCGAAGGCCTAGAAGGAAGTTTATAAAGGCGTTGCAGAGGGCTGGAGGGCACAAGTCAAGGAGCGAGCAGCAGAGGTGCAGGGCAAGGACGGTGACAGTCAAGATTCTGGGGCAGAGGGGGCGGGCGGTGGGGAAGGCGAGAAAGCCCCAGGTGATTGGTGGTGGTGTCCTACCCAGAACAAAGCAGCTCTGTTAGGAAGCTGAATCTGGCAGGAGCGAAGGGGGCCGTGGGCTTGTGCAGAGGGCCCCCCTCATGGCTGTGGGGTTGCTCGTTCTGCAGGCTGCTTCTGGACAGGAACCAGCCTGGGGTGGTGGACGCCCGACCAGGCCAGCAGATCCAGTTGACCTGCCGTGCTGAGGGCTTCCCACCCCCAGCCATTGAGTGGCAGAGAGATGGGCAGTCCCTCTCTTCCCCCAGGTTTGTGTTCAGCTCCTCTCTTAGCCCTCGTGTCCCACCTCCAGCCCCTGACCCTGTGCAGGCCTCGGGGGAGGGAGCTGCCAGGCGCCACCCCTGGTCAGTCCTGAGCAGGATTCCATGGGCTCTCGAGAGATGCTGCAGCTGGGCAGTAGGGTTCCTGGGGCAAACCAACATTTGGGTCTCTGGGTCTTTCCAGTGTGGTTAGTGGACAGAAGTAATGGGTCTGCTAAGGAGGGGTGATGGCTGAGGGACAAAACAGAGGCAGACCCATTTCTGGCTGTAATCGTAACCGCTAACATTTACTGTACTCGTTATGAGTATGAGGTTTGTTCCCCATTGTACACTCTGCACAAGGGCCACATTGAGGTAGTTGCTATCTTATCCCCGTTTTACGCACAGGAGCTTAACACCACACAGCTCCTAAGCGGCAGAATCGAGATCTGAGCCTGCTGAATGAGTATAGCAAGAACTAGAAACCCACACTGGAATTATTTTGTATCTGGAAGCTTGAAATGAGTTTTTTATTGCCAGGCTTAAAGGACGCCCCTCCCAGTAAATGAGTGCGTACCAGCAGCTGGAGGACCTCAGGGCCTAGGGTCGGATGGCCCTTTGCTCAGACCCCACGGAACAGTAGGGGCCACTCAGCCCCCCCCCCCCCGCCCCAGGGAAAGGAAGACCCTGCCAGCCCTCTGGGGATGGAGCCACCTGACTGTGCTTTGTTCCTAGACACCAGCTGCAGCCCGATGGCTCTCTGGTCATCAGCCATGTGGTTGCGCAAGATGGTGGCTTCTATGCCTGTGTTGCTTTCAACGGGCAGGACCGAGACCAGAGATGGGTCCAGCTCAGAGTTCTGGGTAAGGTGGCAGTCCTGAGCGGAAGGTGACCTCTGAGGTCAGGCGGCACGGGTGGGGCAGGATTGGCGAGTGGCTGACCGTGCTTCCTCCTCGGGCCTAGGGGAGCTGACCATCACAGAGCTGCCCTCTACTATGATGGTGCCAGAGGGGGACACGGCCAGGCTGCTGTGTGTGGTGACAGGAGAAAGTGTAAACATCAGATGGTCCAGGTAAGGCTCTGTTCCACACAGGCCTGGCCCTCAGACCCTCACACCTGAGGCTGTGCAGCCCAGAGAGTTGGTCCACCTTTCTGCAAGGATATTGCCATTCACACCATTCATTCTTCAACTCCTGCTTCCAGGGGAGGGGGCTGCAGCACCCTCTTCCCAACGTAATGCGGCCCCAGAGGACTGCTCTCTGTTGGCCGGGCTACACCAGGGTTTCTCAACCTTGGCACTATCGGTATTTCAAACTGGGTAATTGTCTTTTTTAAGATTTTGAGAGAGAGCACGAGCATACAAGTGTGGGGGTCGGTGACAGAGGGAGAGGGAGAAGCAAGCTCCCTGCGGAGCAGGGAGCCCGATGTGGGACTTGATCCCAGCATCCTGGGATCACAACCTGAGCTAAAGGCAGATGCTTAACCAACTGAGCCACCCAGGCGCCCCGGACTGGATAATTCTTGATTGCCGGGGCTGTCCTGTGTATTGGAGGATGTTTAGCAGCATCCAGGCCATCTACCCACTAGATGCCGGTAGGATCTCCCTCCCAAGTCATGACAATTGACAATGTATAGAGACGTCTTTTAATATCCCCTGGGTGACACAATCTCCCTCAGGGGTTGAGAACCACTGGGCTATACTCAACTTTGGGGACTTCAGTGGTCTTTTACCCCAGATCAGTTGCTCTTTTATTCATTCTTTCAGCAAACACTTTTTTGCCCCCTTTCTCCTTGCCATGTGTCAGGAAGAGCCTAGGCTCTGGGGATCTTGGTGTAATCTGAGCCCCCCAGATACTCCCAAGCAGGAGATGGCCCCGTGTCCCCTGGGGTCCAGAGGTTTGCCCTCTGGTGTGTGTGCCTGGAGGACGGAGGCTGCCTCCTCTCTGGGGGAATCCAGGAAGGACTGGCCACACATGTGACTTTGGCTGGGCCTTGAAGGTTGAGGAGGGGAAGGCTGTTCTTGACCGAGCCTCAAAGGTGAGTAGAAGAGATGATGTCAGAATGGGAAGGGGCCTGCATGCAGGAGTAGGGACGGTGGCTGGGAGCTTCTGTAGGCTTCTGGGCAGCTGTGCTCCGTGCAGACCTGCCCTGATCAGGTCCGGCCTCTGATGATTCTAGCAGGCCTGTATCTTCCACTTTTGCTTCTCCTTGATCTTCCTAGCAGCAAATACGCTCAGGACTCCCCTCTTCAAAGCATAACAAAAGATACCCTCCTCTGACCCTGCATGTCCCTGCAGACCCTGGCCTCATCTGGAGTCTCCCCCTCACAGCGGCTCACATCCACCCCCACTCCAGGGATACTGCCCTGTTCCTAAATCCTCTGGACAAATCTCAGTCCCCACACGACCTGCAGTGTCCTTCCGCTGACCGCTTGCACCTCCCGACATGCTCCCTCCCCTTGGCTCCAGGAAACTACTGTCGTCTGGCCTTCTTCCTCTGGCCGCTGCTTATTTTCCTGGCTGGCTCATCTTCTCACACCAATCCCTCAGAGGCTGGTGCACCTCAGGGGTTGTGCTTGGTCCTTGGTCTAACTTCACCTTGGGTAACCTTGTTGGCATGTGGTTTCCAGGATCATCCAGTGCTGATACACTATCTGGGTCTAGACCTCAAATCCAATGCTGCCCGGTATCTTGCGGGCACCCAAAATGCAAAATGGTGGAAAAGAGCATTCACCATTCAGCCCTCTTCCCCACTCTGGATCTTCCCATGGTGGAGGGGCACCACTCTTACCCAGTAACCCAAGCCCGGAATCTCCGTCATCCTTCATGTCTTCGCCCGACCTTGCCCATCTGGCCCTCTCCCACGTGTGCACTTCTGCCGTAGCCACTTTCCTGCTCTCTGATTTCAGGCTTGTCCTAGCCCCAGTCGGCGAGCCTTTCCATGGGCGGATACTTGGTCAGTCCCGCTTAGCTCACAGCCCTCCATTTCCCCCAGGGTCCAGGCCAAACTCTGTCTAGGCTGTGTCCACTTCCCTCTCTGCTCTGACCATGGCCTCCCCTTGAGCTCGCGAGCCCTCTCGTTCTCGCTTGCACCAGCCAAATGTTCCTCCTCATCCTCAGGTCAGGGCTCAGCTAGGTCATCCTCAGGGAAGGCGCCCCTAAGCACCTGTACCCCAGCCCTGTGCCCTCAAGGCAGGGAGCGCTTATGTCCCTCACCTAGCACAGGGCCTGGCACCTCATGGCTGCTTGAGAGACCTTTGCTGATGAAAAGCGAGAGCGGGGTTCCTTTGTGGATTAAAAGGCAAATTCACAATAACTTAGATCAGTGTGCTCAGTTGGGGTGAGTTCACCTCACTTTTGAGTTATTTTGCTCTGAGAATGTTCTTTTTGGCACCGTGCCCCATCTCTTTCTCGAGGTGAGGGTCATCTGTGCACAATGATTACCTCCTCCCTTTGTCTCCTGGGCCTGGCCGGCTCTCCCAGCGTCCTCTCCCCTCCAGGAACGGGCTGCCGGTGCGGGCCGACGGGCATCGCGTCCACCAGTCCCCAGATGGCACGCTGCTGATCCACAACCTGCAGGCCAGAGACGAGGGCTCCTACACGTGCAGTGCCTACCGTGGAAGCCAGGCAGTGAGCCGCAGCACCGAGGTGAAGCTGGTCCCGCCAGGTAAGAGGCCTAGCCCAGGGCCTTGCTTGTGCCCCAGAGCTGGCTTTGTGCTGCACAGGGCGGGGGAGGGCAGGCTCTGCAGGCTGGGGGGGACCCTGGCCTGAGTCCTGGCTCACTCTGCCAGTTCCTGGTAGTGTCACCTGTGGCAAGGGGCTCAACCTCCCCGAGCCTCTCCCCTCCCATGTGCAGCGGGTGACTCCAGCGCCTGCGGGAGCTGTGCTGAGGGTGAAGGAGATGGTGCAGATGATGGGCATCTGGTAACAGCTTAACAGGCGATGTCAAATATCATTTAGACTTACTGATTTTGAGAAATAGGACCGACTGGAATTTCATTATAATCCTTACGGCAGATAGACTGTTGAATGTGTCCATTCTAATCAAGGTGGCAAAAAAACGAACCTATGATTGAAAAGTGCCTTTGACCATATAATCCAGAAAGGGAAGGGCAGGGGTTAGTATCGCCATCTTACAGGTGGGACAGACATCCAGACACCTCATGTGATGTTTTCACAAGTCACACAGCAAATGAGGGGCTAAGCTGGGATTAGACCCTAGTTCTCATATTTAATATTCTTTTCCTTAAATGACTGTAGCTGTAACTGGGCAGAATTTTACTTGCGTTATTCAGTAGTTTATATTCTTCAGCTCTTGCCCAGAGTTATAGATCAGTGAACCTAAGGACCATGTTGTAAAACAATTAGTTTCATACCACTAAGAAAAAAATGCCACTAGAACTGTTAAATGACACAGTGCTAAGACACCATCAATTCAGATGCAGTCCAATTTGAGAGGTGTTAAAATGGGAAAATCAGCGCATCTCAGAATTGGTAAGATAGACATGAGCTCTATAGTCAAAGAGGCCAGAGGGCAAGGGGGAGTGGGAGGCCTGCCCTCCGCCCAGCCTGCCCTTCCATGTGTCCTTGGTCCAGGCTCACTGACCGGCAGGCAGTGCCCTGGGCTGAGCTGCCGCTTCTCATGAGGCCTGAAGCAGACTTTTCAGGACCTCTCCTGTGCTGTCTGCCTGGACGCTCATGGCGTCAGGGCCACAGCATGCACCAGGAGAGCTGCTATACCAGGGGTACTGGGCCTGCTACGCTGTGGGTGGGAAGAGGCCAGCACTAGAGGTTGAAGGTCCATGGTAGAAATGTCGCTTAGTGAATCAGACTGACACGTAGGCTTCCGGTTTCTGAGCTCCTTAGGATAGCCACTGGGACTCGAGTCCCCAGGGCCCAGCTCAGTGCTCAGCATCACTAGGTGCTTAGGCTGGGTGACTGTGGGAGGGCATTACCTTCACAAAAGCGCTAGACCACTGGGGCCATTTCCCGCCCCCCACCCTGCCCAGCAGATTGATCTCTTGTCTACAATCAGATTTACAAACCAGAATGCAGATTTGGGTGAGAAAGAGAGCTGTCAGGGGACCCAGGTGTTCATGTTTGTGACTCCTTGTAGACACGTCTACATGGGAAGCCAAATTAGAAACTTGTTTGATGGCAAAGTCTGGTGGGGCTCTTTGCTTGTGTGGTCACACACTGAAATGTCTGACGTGACCTGCTTCCTGGACGGGACGCCTTTCTCCTGCCCTCTGCTGGATGAGTGTTGCTCATCTCCTACTTTGTGGGCACCTTTCTTGACTAGAAGCTGTCTCGCCCCTCTCTTTGTATTCATTCTGTTGATTATGCTTTTTGTAGGGTCTCACTGCTTGACGCTGCCTCACTTTGCCCGATTCGTGGTCTGGTGGCATACTGGAATTAGTGTCAGCGTCCGGGTAGCAGGCTTTAAGCTAGTCACGCTCTACTGTAAGGGACATGCTTCCAACCTTCTTGCCTAAAAGACGGGGGTGAGAAACGGAAAATACTGTAGGGATAAAACACAGGGGCTCGTGCACTTTTTTTGAATGAGAGGGAATGAGGCTATGAAGCAAAACATGGTCAAGCACTCAAATTTTAGCCACAGTCACTGTATGCCCCAGGTGCTGTTCCCATCTCCATTTCAGGTGAGGAAGCACAGGCAGAGAGCTGAAGTAACTGGCACAAAATCACCCAGCTGGGAAGCAGGAGAGCCAGGACTGAGCTCAGGCAGTCTGGCTCCAGAGCTGGCATGCTTAACCACCATGGTGGGCACCTAACCTCTGGGCCCTTGACAGGCCCCGGGCTGCAACTGCTGAGAGAAACTCGTTATCAAAGTTACTGGTTTTTAAAACAATATGCATAAATGGCTTGATATTTATATAAATGTAGGTACGGTTGGCCCCTGAGCAACACCAGCGATTAGGGGTACCGACCCTCGGTGCAGTCAAAAATCCACATAGAGGGGCGCCTGGGTGGCTCAGTCGTTAGGTGTCTGCCTTCGGCTCAGGTCATGATCCCAAGGTCCTGGGATCGAGCCCCGCATCGGGCTCTCTGCTCCGCGGGAAGCCTGCTTCTCCCTCTCCCACTCCCCCTGCTTGTGGAAGTTCCCTCTCTCGCTGTGTCTCTCTCTGTCAAATAAATAAAATCTTTAAAAAAAAAAAAAAATCCACATAGAACGTTGACTCCCAAAAACTTTACTAATAGCCTGTTGACCAAAGCCCTCCTAACACAGCACATATTGTATGTGTATTATATACTGTATTCTTACAGCAAAGCTAGCTAGACAAAATGTTAAAATCATAAGGAAAATACATTTACAGTACTGTACAGTATTTAGTGAAAAAAAAATCACGCGGACCCACGCAATTCAAACCCATGTTGTTTAAGGATCAGCTGTAGTTAGTACTCTCATTGTACCGATATTCCTAACCTGCACAGAATCAGGTACTAAGACTACTGAGGTATAATCTTTTTTGTTGTATTTTGGGAGGAAGCAGGGGGAGAGGAGATGAAGATAAGCCCCAGGAGGTCTGACTTTAGGGACGGTGCTATTCAGGCCTAAGTCCAGCTGAGTCACAAGAGCCCCTTCCAGAAAGAAAAGGGAAGTTAACTAGATGAGGCCACTTCAGTCCTAAGATGAAGCAGTGGAATAAAACACCCACAGGGATTTTTTTTTTTTTTTTTTAAATCTCTATGCCCACTGTGGGGCTTGAACTGCCGACCCTGAGATCAAGAGTCACTTGCTCTACAGACCCAGCCAGCCTGGCCGCCCTCTCACAGGGATTTTTAAGTTCCCGAAGCTGCTAGCACTTTCAGAGGGGGCAGCAGTGAGCATTTTGTGTTTAGTGCAGTGTTCGAGCCATGGCTCATTAGGCTCTTCTAATCGCCTTGCCTAATGCTCACTTGCTTTCTTGGGGGGTAGTGGGAAAACTGGGAAGATGGGGAATGAAGTGACTGAGATAAACTGGGGCTACTGAAGGCACAAACCTTTTGAGGTTAGAGGAAATCAGCAGTGAGAGAAAGAGACCAGACAGCTCTGGCCCAACTCAAAATTTTACTTAGGGCTGATCCCCCCACCTTCCCTTCCCAATCCAGGGGCTAAGGCAATTGTCACTCAGCTCTTCAGGTCACAACAGCAAGGGTAGGGAGTTAACTTCAAGAGGTGTCATCATGTGTAGTCAGTGCCTGAGAGTCTGCCCTGGGCTGAGGCTGCAGGACCACTGCGTGCCCAGATGAGGCCCACGGCGGTGGCGGGGGTAGGAGATGCACACAGGTGATAAAGAGTACAGAGCAACTGTGCTTTTTGGGAATCTGGCAGTTCTGCTGCTTTCCTCTTAAGGCAAAGAAAGGGGAGGTGAGACTTTTCAGCCTCCACAGCTTCCTTACCCCTTTGTCTCTCCCTGGTTGTCTCCGCAGCACTGCCCGCCCAGCCCAGGGCCCTGAGCAGGGAGTGTGTGGATCAGCCTGAGCTGGCCAACTGTGGTCTGATCCTGCAGGCCCAGCTCTGTGGCAATGAGTATTACTCCAGCTTCTGCTGTGCTAGCTGTTCCCGCGTCCAGCCTCACGCTCAGCCTGTCCGGCGGCAAGGATGAAGGCCAGCCGCGGCCCCAGTCCTGAAACAACTCCTGGTCCGTGGCCTCTGGCTGCCAAAGGGCTCTACCCTTCAGAGAATGGGCCTCTCAGCCCGCCGTGCCCCGCCGTGCCTCGGCAGCCGCTGGCACCACAGCTCGCTGGCACGAGGAGTCGGCTTGGATAAGGACACCCTTTACGGCTTCCCTCTATCATTTGTCATACAGGATCAATTCACTGGGTTCTAAAGCAAGCTACCAGGGTTCTCAATTCATTTAAAGCTGGGTGGGGAGGTGTGTAATGGTTTTAGAGTTAACATGTATCTCACACGGGGCACACTCATTCCTGCCGTGTCAGGCCATTTTTCCCTGCTAGAACTCCCATCTCCTCTAGGGTCAAACAGTGGTTCACTGCTCTAGTCAACCTCACCCTTCCAGGCAGTGTGGCAATCAGCTTCAACTGCCACCTGTACGTCCAGTTAATGGCATGTTTGTGAAAGCTCTTGCCAAAGTGGAATATGGCACGTAAGGTTCAGTACACGATGTGGGACGAAGGAGCAGCAGGTGATGATGGGAGCATGCCAGAAGTGGGGGCGCTCCTTACTTTCCTCAGGAAGCTAGTGCCCGAAGCCCTCCTCCTAAGGCCAACATGCAGAGCCTGGTTGTGAGGATCACCTCACCCCTGCAGCAAGCTGACCTGCTATGTACAGTGACGAGCTGGGAGCCTCTCCTCCCCAAGCAGGAATCTGTGAGGCAGAGCCAGACTATTAAAAACAGGCATCAGCAGGATAGGGGAACAAAGGAGGGGAAGGCAATACATTAACAACGAAGTAGTTTCAGAAATGGTTTGAGTAGGAAGAAGTCCTTCTCCATCTCTCAGAACCTCCAGTTCCTCGGTGCTAAACAAGAGGCCTGGATTCAATGAGCTTCCAGGTCCCTTTCCACTTTAACCTACACATCCTCAGAGGACTGGCTGGATCTAAGTGACAGGTTATTCTGGGACATAAGAAAGACAGGCATTACAGGGAAAGCTTTTACTACCAACACACTGGTTGGAAAAGAGACAAACTGCATCATGGCTGAGTGATACTTCTTGGTCTCTCTCTCATTCAACAAAGGAAACATGGGTTAGGGGCACAGGTATTTTTTTCTTTCCACTTAAAAAAATACAGAGGCGGATCCCCTTTCATTTACCATGGCTTGGTTTGCTATACAAATTGGAAACTAAGGGCTACTTTCTTGGACTCCCCAGTTCTTGCCAATTGGCAACATCATTCAGAAGGTAAGTTTGAGGTTAGCTAGCTCTTCTCAGAACTAGTCACAGAGTAGTGGGCTAAGGTTACAGGAAAGAGTAACACTCAAGCTAGACCAGTGGTTCTCAACCCTCTTCCATATTGGGAACTTGAAAAACAAAAACAAAAACAACCTGGGGTCCTCCCCCAACCACTTTGACTTAATTGGCCTGGAGTATGGGCCAGTGTGAGGATTTTAAAAGTTCCCCAGGTGATTCTAGTATGTATCCAAGGCTGAGACTCACCGCTCCAGCAGGACCCTTCAGAAGGTGAACCTTGGTTCCAGTGTATTTTCTGATGACTAGGCTGGGGGTGGGGAGGGTGGTGCTGAGATTCTGTACCTCTACTCAGCTCCTAGGTGCAGTCCATGCTCCTGTTCCAGACCACACTTTGAGCAGCAAGAATCTGACATCAGAGATATACTTAGGGTCAACCAAAGCCTAGAGTAGAAACACAAAAGTGAATTTTAAGCATATACTAGTCCTGGTGGGCAAAACAGACGAAGGGGATTAATCCAGAGGTACAATCTTCCAGTTATAAGTCACAGAGATGAAAAGTCTAACACAGGGAATATAGTCAATAATATTGTAATAGCATGAATGGTGACAAATGGTGACCACACTTATTGTGATGAGCACTGCGTAATGTATAGAATTGTTGGATCAATATGTTGTACACCTGAAACGGTAACACTGTATGCCAATTATACTTCAATAATAAAGAATATACTAGTCCCAATAAAAGATTTTCTAGCCACCAAACCAGAGTTCTGTAGCAGCAGCAGAACGGAGCAAGAACAGACCAAAAAGAACTAAAAGTAAACACATTTGCTAATAAAGAAAAGGGGAAAGACCAGCCCTTCATGGGCAAAAGCTTCTACCACGAACATTTATTTTTGTTAAAGCAGATTATAAATTCTCATCAGTACAAATATATATAACTTACATTTGATTGTAAGGCCAACGTTCAAAAGTAAGAATGAGATGGGACCTCACATTGTTACCAGAGGTCAAGAGGCTGCCACTGGCAACGGGACGTTCTGCTCACCACGTGGGGGGACAGACGCACACACAGCTAATAAAACTAGAATCTCCATCCCCACAAAACTCGTGGGGACAAAACCTAAAGGACAAAACAAGACCCACATGACAAACCAACACAGTAGCCTGCGCTCCCCATCGAGGGATGTGATTCTGTCATTGTCACCTTAGTGTTAAGTAGAGGATTAACATAAACTGCAGCAGTATATGAAAGAAGATGCATATTCTCTATATTTAGATTGATTCCATTAAAATAATGACATTAGAATTTCATCACAGGTTTAAAACCAGGACAATACTGCTCTTTCGTTTTCTTTAAAACTACAACCCAGTGACTGTATTGGTCATTTGCATGATTGTTGCTGCAATGTGCTACTTACAATGAATGATACCAGATAAGCTAGGGACCCCGTCTGCAACTCCCAACCTTTCCTCTCTCCGCTTCAATAGGCATCACTGATAAATCAATCTTATGTACAATTTCTTACAGCTAACCCTTTTACCTTTGGCAAGATTACTTACAACTCATACAACTTTTTAATATTGAGAACTATTTAAAATATTCTAAATGCATAAAAATAAAGATTTTGGCTTTTTTTTTTGATATATATATTTATAATATTTATTCTTACTCAAAGTGGAAGCTCAACTTTGCCCCTAAAATATAGCTCTGTTGGGCAGCTGCTGATGTGCTCTCCTGGGAATTCTGGCGACATAGCCTGCCTCCCGTCCCCAGCCCAAGCACAGGCCACCATGTTCTTGATCTCTAAGACAGGCCAATACTGAGAGGCGGCAGGTGAATGGCCTGAAAAACAAAGGGAGATTGTTTTGCTTCCGTTGTGTTTTGAATTCCAGTAAATGTGCTTTGAATACAGATTCCTGTTCAGATATTTCTGCCTCTCTGTTGCCAGAGATTTGTAAGGGGCTGAGGGAGTAGGAGGGGGACAGAGGGAAACATTTCCTTGACTTCTTTAGCCTAACTGCAAGACAACTCTTCTCTAGGAATGTTTTTTCCGTTTTTTTCAAAATCACCTCTCCTAGCACTCTCTGCCTGGACATGCCTTGGGACCTTCGGGATTGGTGAAAAGTATACTGATTGGGAACACAAAGTTCCCTTTGCTCCTTTGACCCCCTTGCTAAGTACAGACAAAATACATAAGCCATAGAGACTGCTTAAAGTTCAATTTCAAACGTCTTCTGTAAGTCACTGGAGAAAGGATTGGTGGGAGAGGGGTTAGTACGCTGCTTGGACTTGCTTTCTAATGCAGCCCACTGGGCTTCGAAAGGATCCACTGGGCAGGTGCCTGCAGGAACCTCTGTGTGCTTATCTCCTGAGGCCAACCTGCCATCGTCTACACCATTGAAAGCTGCAGAACCGTTGAGGTGCTGAGCAGGCGGCTTAAAGAAGGGACTGGCAGTAGCACTGCTTGTCTCATACTGTGGGAATGTCTGCTGCTTGACCAGGCTGGGAGACTGATGGGGGTGGGCGGCCTGAGGGTGGCCTGCAGTGCCAAACACGTTGGCTACCATCTGGGAGGGTGTGATGCCCACCACAGGCACATTAGGGGCTGGATAGGGCATCCCATTGGCCACAGGATAGGACTGGGCAGGGACAAAGGCTGGCTGCAGGGGTGGGACCACGCCCACTGGCACAGGCTGAGAGGTGAGGAATGCGTTCCCTTGGAAAGGCGGCGCTGGCTGGGTCATGGCAGTGGGTGGAGGAGGCTGGAGAACTGGCTGCAAAGGAGCAGCTGAGGCCTGGGGCTGCTGCGCCCGGATGCTCTTGGACACCTCTTCTAACCAGCGGTCAGCCTCAGAGGGAGTGCGTCTGTGACCAGCCTGCAAGAGACCTGGAGATGCAGCACCAGAAGATTGACCCCACTCGGTCCCTGGGAACGAACAAGAGGGAGAGAGACAAACGAATCAGAATCTTTAGGGGTTTCTTTTCTTTCCCGATAACCTTGGTTACTTGAATGAGCCTAACATGTGGAACAAGTCCCTCAATGGGATACTTTGTGGTTCTGGCCGGTGGGAGAAAAGCCTCTATTACCAGCCAAGGAGGGGTTGTTTTAGGACAAAGGGAACCTGTCAGACCATGCTGCTGTCTCAGCCATGCTGAGGAGCTGTCTAGACAGGGCTCGACTACACAGAACGAAGGCAGCTGGCTGGCATCAGAAACCCTTTCCTACTGCTGCTGCTCTTCCATGGTACAGAAACCAGCTTGCACATGCTCTGAAGGGCCCAAGGTGATTCACCTTCTGCTCTAACAGAATAAAAAGAAAATAACCAGTAACTTGGCAATGTGCCTCGTGGTCCCTGTCTCGCTTCAAGACACAGGTTATCCTTCAGGTGAACTGCCTTCATTACTATTTAAAATTTGTTCCGATTTTATAGTTAACAAGTGTTCACTATAGGAAAACTAGAAAGTATAGAAAAATATGAAGTACTTTTGGCAGCCCTTTCTGTAGGCCTGCCATCGTAAGAAGCGGGGTACCCCCTTGCTGCAGGCATGTCCACACATCTCCAAATTCAGTGGTCGACTCAGGGCCCAGGAATCTGTATTTTATGAAAGCTCTAGGGGGTGATTCTGTTTCGTAGTCCTAAGAACTATCAAATCTAATCTCTCGAGTTCCTCTCCTTCACCATCCTTTCCTAATAGTAGTGTATTTCCAGGAGGGAAACATACTGTTCCTAAAAGGATTTCTCCCTGGTTCCCACTCAGGTAAATGGTTGATTTCTTTTTTTTTTTTTAAAGATTTTATTTTTTATCTATTTATTTGAGAGAGAGAATGAGAGACAGAGAGCACGAGAGGGAAGAGGGCAGAGGGAGAAGCAGACCCCCTGCTCAGCAGGGAGCCCGATGCGGGACTCGATCCCGGGACTCCAGGATCATGACCTGAGCCGAAGGCAGTTGCTTAACCAACTGAGCCACCCAGGTGCCCTAAATGGTTGATTTCTTAATCGGTGTCACTCATCTGATCCCAGAATCCTCACCACCATCCGTGGCCACCTTACCCGAATGTGTGGCTGCAATTCCCTTGTTAGCAGCATCAGGGGCATGGGCCCAGGGGTTGGTTTCACGCACAGGCATTGCTACGGGTGCTAGAGCAGTATGGGCTGGCTTAGCAGCAAGCACATGGAAGGCTGAGTCAGTGCCATTAGCTACAATGGGAGCAGACAACATCGATGGAGTCAATTCATGCAGGGTGGACGGGCGACCCCCTGGAGCTGGGTCAGTCAGGCCAATGTGCGATACTGGTGGAACAGGTTAAGACAGAAAAGTTGGTGTTGGGATAACCATGCCATCTTGCAGTGGATACACAAACCTTCTGGCAAAAGGGAATTAGAGGTGGTCATTAAAATAGCTATACTGAAGGGGCGCCTGAGTGGCTCAGTCGTTAAGCATCTGCCTTCGGCTCAGGTCACGATCCCAGGGTCCTGGGATCGAGCCCCGCGTCGGGCTCCCTACTCCGCGGGAAGCCTGCTCTCCCTCTCCCACTCCCCCTGCTTGTGTTCCCTCTCTCACTGTCTCTCTCTCTGTCAAATAAATAAATAATAAAAAAAAAAAATCTTAAAAAAAATAAAAATAAATAAATAAATAAAATAGCTATACTGAAAAAAAAAAGTCAAATGACCATTCTAGGAAAATCTGTCTATAGGGGGAGAGGGAATGAAACCTAGAAAAACAATTTCCAATTAAGCTGAACAGAGCTGCTTTGTCTTACAAGCAGCGAAAATCTATTCTAGATATAGCTTAGCCTTTGGCATAATGATGCAGATAAAGCATTTCCTTCTCCTACCACTTTTCCAAAAGATCAAATTATGCCAACAGTAACAATGGGTTAAATATAATGATCCCTTATGATCAATAGTACTTCATTAATAGTACTTCAGCGTGCATCATCCTATTTCTCTCAAAAACCCCATAAAGCTGGTATACTCATACTATAAATGAGAAATCAAACTTGGAATATGTTTTCATTTGCTTAATAAATTTGTAATTCACTACAGAATTAATTTCATCTCTCTTCTTTGAAGATTTTTTTCCCCTCAGGAATGGTCATATCTCACAGTACTACTATTCTTTCCTCTCTTTTTATTAAAAATCTCTTAACCCTTACTCCTTTACTCCAGATATCTAATCCATCAGTCTCTATTCCTTAGTCCAGCTCTCTATCATATTTAGTTTGGAGCAGATAAGCAGGCACCTTCCCCTGCCCTTTGCTTTAATCACTCCCTCTTTAAGACTAGACAACCATGCTTATGGCATTGGTACTATTTACCCCAGGCTTGTGTAAAAGTTTTGTAGTCCTAAGAACTATCAACTGACAACTAGAGCTCCCATAGACTGGGAGCCCCTTAAAGGCAGGGAAAGGACTATGTTCTATTCAGTTTTGTACATCCCATTGTAAATAGGCACAGAGGCAACAGAGTGGAACAGGTACGATATTCAGAAAGACCTGGGTTTAAATCCTGGCTGTGCATTTGGGCAATTTGCTCAATCTCTCTGAGCCTCATCTTCCTTAACTGTAATGCTTACCTCAAAGGGTTGTTGTGGGGATTAAATGAGATGAGAAAATGCATGAGTCCTTACCAAGATATGGCAGACACTGTGCTAGTAAGTGCTCAATAAATTGTGCCTATTATAGGTATTACAAATATTTGTTAGATGAAATGAAAAGCCGTTTGGTGCACATGATTATAATGGATTTTTTTTTGTT